GTGGGCACTCAGTTGGCCAGGTAGCTGTCTTCCGAAAATTTTTGGCATAGACAAGTGTGGGCTTCTGTTGCTGTATCCGTTTGTTGAGATATCTCAGTTGGTAGTCCATCAATTCCTGGAGCCTTGTTTTTCACCAGTGCCTTCAGTGCGACTTGGACTTCTTTCTTCAGTACCATCAGTTCTTGATCATATACTACCTCCTGAAATGGTTGAATGTTGACCAATTCTTTTTGGTACAGTGACTCTGTGTATTTCTTCCACTTTCTTTGGATGCTTCCTGCATTGTTTATTATTTTGCCTGTAGAATCCTTCAATATTACAACTTGAGGCTTGAATTTTTCCTTCAGTTCTTTCAGATTGAGAAATTCTGAGTGTGCTCTTTTGATTTTCTAACTCTAGGTCTTTGCACATTTCATTAAAATACTTTGTTTTCTCAAGCCACCCTTTGAAATCTTCTGTTCAGCTCTTTTATGTGATTATTTCTTCAGCAGTTTCAGAGCTTCTTCTGACATCCATTTCGGTCTTTTCTTTCTTTCCTGTTTTTTAATGACCTCTTGCTTTCTTCATGTATGATGTCCTTGATGCCATCCCACAACTCGTCTGGTCTTTGGTCATTAGTGTTCAGTGCATCTAATCTATTCTTGAGATGGTCTCTAAATTCAGGTGGGATATACTCAAGGTCGTACTTTGGCTCTCGTGGACTTGTTTTAATTTTCTTCACCTTCAGCTCAACTTGCTTATGAGCAGTTGATGGTTTTCTGCATGTTTTCCAACTACTGATCCTTCTTTGTTTCCAGCTTTTGCATTCCAGTCACCAGTAATTATCAGTGCATCTTGATTGTGTGTTTGATCAATTTCAGACTGCAGAAGTTGGTAAAAATCCTCAATTTTTTCATCTTTGGCATTGGTGGTTGGTGCATAAATTTGAATAATGGTTATATTAACTGGTCTTCCTTGTAGGCATATGGATATTATCCTATCACTGTTGTACTTCAGGATAGATCTTGAAATGTTCTTTTCGATAATGAATGTGATGCGTTACTCTTAATTTGTCGTTTCTGGCATTTTTGACCATATGATTGTCCGATTCTAAATGACCAATACCAGTTCATTTCAGCTCACTAATGCGTAAAGTATCAATCTTTACATGTTCCATTTCATTTTTGATGACTTCCAATTTTCCTAGATTCATACTTCGTACACTCCATGTTCCGATTATTAATGTATGTTGCAGCTGTTCTCATTTTGAGTCATGCCGCATCAGCAAATGAAGGTCCCAAAAGCTTGACTCCTTCCACGTCATTAAGGTCAACTCTACTTTGAGGAGGCAGCTCTTCCCCAGTCATTTGAGTGCCTTCCAAACTGAGGGGCTCATCTTCTGGCACTGTATCAGACAGTGTTCTGCTGCTATTCATAAGGCTTTCACTGGCCAATTTCTTTAGAAGTAGATCGCCAGATCCTTCTTTCTAGTCTGTGTTGATCTGGAAACTCTGCTCAGACCTGTTCACCATCAGTGATCCTGCTGATATTTGAAATACTGGTGGCATAGCTTCTGTCATTACAGCAACACGCAAGCCACCACAGTATGACAAACTGACAGATGAGAAAACAAATTATTATTATTTGCTATTGTATTATTTAATTATTTCTGTTCTGTAATACAGCTACCAAGTAGTTGCTGTGTTTAAAATACATATTTTGCCAAGTAAGTATCTTAAAATAACATACTTTTAATTGACTTAAGAGATGAAGAACAATTTGTTTGTCAAAATGACTCACTTAAGGTGAGGGATAACCTCGGCTTTAAAATTTCTTAGATGTGTTAGTCATCTCCTAGTAGACGTTAATAATTCAGATATACTTTACCCACCCTATCAGCTAAAAAAATTAGAGGCACGCCTTTAAAATTTGGTGGAACTCATCTTTGCCATTTCTCTCTCAAAATCAGAGCTGAAATTGGTTTTGTTGTCTTGGTTAAGCATTAATAATTTAATTACAAAAGAAAAAAGTAATATTGAAGATGTAATTTTATGACTAAATCAACCTCATTAATTTAGAATTCAGGGATGGAGAAGAAGACAACTAACTAAGAAATTCAAGTTTTAACATTTCATTTTAAACCCTAAACAGTACTGCCTACCCATCAGCAGCCCGGAATGAAATTTGAACGTGTCTCCAAATTTGAATGCAGTTACTATGGTCCTTATTTTCTCTTTTTTGACAGCTGCTCAAAAAGTTTGTTCTCTTACATGATTAATTTTGGATTTGTCTGAAGTTAAATTAACTGGTATTAAAGAATGCTTGTCATTTAATTTTCTATTGAATCATATGTAAATTTTAGACAACATACTAAATATTTATTGGTGAAAAGGCATGCCATCTGAGATTTGAGTTAAAATATTACAAGCTCCCAACAACAACAAAAACAATTTTTGAAGAAAAAGCCTTGTTCATCCTTGAAAAATGCTCTCCTGCAGTAAAATTATTTCAAATTTATATCAAATTAACATAATTTTTGTGTGACATTTAAAAAATGGAAGCAACAGAGTAGCAGGATACTTTTTTTTAATAGAAATAAATTATTTGTGCAGGGGTTGCTTTCCTTTTTTTCACACCGGACCTACTATAGCATGATAGTCACATGTAGCAATTCAGTAATTAAATTTATAGGTAATATATCAAATAAAAGAAACTTTTTATGCTCTTTGAATACAATTACTCAAGTAAAAAAATACCCTGTAGCAAACAGGTATAATTCATTCTTCAGCTATTATTTTTGTTAATTTTTTATCTTGATATAAATGTTATATTGAACCAAAGATGAAAATGATTTTTCGTTGTGGTATTGCCAATAGGAAAGCCAACTTTTCTTTTCTTAACATCAGTATAAACAGTACTGCTCATTCAATTGTATGTGCAGGCCTATAGACTGAAGCTGGGAGAAACTGGAAGCTTGTAGGCTATGTAGTCGAGAACCAAGGTATTAAGGGCCTTGAGGAAAAACTAGAAGCTGTGGAAATAGAGAAGACTAGATAGTCTTGAGACAGTTCAGAACAAGAATGTGTAGACCTTCGTGACTAATTTGATGTGGGAACAGAAGGAAAAAAAGAGGATTTTTCTTGTTTTTTTTTTTAAGTAATTTAGTATTGTAACAGAAAAAGGGTGGTGGTGCCCTTGATTCTAACGAGGTAGTAACTAAAAATTATTGAAGTAAACTGAAAATTGAAGGAAACTTTTCTTCATGAGAAATTAATGAGAAGTAGATATTTTTTTTTCTTTTTTCTTTCAACCGTTTTGGTACCACTGATATCTGTTTCAGTAAGTTTATGTCATCTTTGTGAGCTATGCTAGTGTATTGGTATACAAAGATATCTCTAAGAACATTTTTAATCTAAACAGTAGGCTATTTCACTTTGAGTTTAACCAGTAGTATTTAGCCCTGTTAAAACCAAAAAAAAAAAAAAACCATACCCATTGCCATCGAGTCGATTCTGATTCATAGTAACCCTATAGAACAGAGTAGAACTGCCCCGTAGGGTTTCCAAGGAGTGGCTGGTGGATTCAAACTGCCAACCTTTTGGTTAGCAGTTGAATGCTTAGCCCTGATGGCACAGTGGTAAAGTGCTCATCTGTTAACTGAAAGGTTGACAGTTCAACACACCAGCCACTTCACAGGAGAAAGATGTGTCAGTCTGCTTCTGTAAAGATTTACAGCCTTGGAAATAGGGGCAGTTCTACTCTGTCCTACAGGGTCGCTATGAGTTGGAATCGACTCAGCTGGCAATGGGTTTTTTGGTTTGGTAGTCTCATCTCTAATTCCTTCAATTATTTGTAAATAAAGAGACCAACATGAACTAATTGCTTTCAAATGAAGTTCCCTAGAGTTCTTTACAGGAGAACTGCCACTATTTCTGAAGGCTGGGGAGATGGGAGACAGCTGATCTGGCTCCAGGAGCCCTCCATCCCTGCCTTACCTAAAAACAGTTCTACTTTCATCTATTTTACATACTGGAATTTCCTAGAAGATTTTGTTTGGTTTTATAGGAGTCTTCAACATTAAAAGAAAAAAAGAAAAACCACTAGCCTTGGTGATCTCTAAGGATGTTTCTGTGCTAATGCTTTTAATCAGTGTTAAATGAGTTCAGATAGGCCCAACCTATGTAAATTGCTTTCAGTACAATGAAGTGGAAAGAACACTTGTGTTTAAATCTTTCTTCTGCTGCCCTTGACCCTAGAATAGGCACTTGACCACTCTCAACTTTTGCTTTTCATCTGTAAATTGGGATAATGTACTTGCTTTGCTTAACCTTCAGAGTTGTTTTAAGATCAAATTTGTGATCATATCTTGCTTGTATATTTCAAATTTCAGGTTAGATCAGGAGTTGGCAAACTTTTTCTATATATAGCCAAATAGTAAATATTTTAGGGTTTGTGGGCCACATACCTTTTACAATTACAACCTTTCAAAAAATAAGAACCATTCTTAGCTCATGAGCAGTACAAAAAACAGGCCTCTAGCCAAATTTGACCCAGGGAGTGCAGCTTGCTGACTCCTGGTTTTATGAATAATTTTAATTATGTGAAATTCGTAATTGCTAAAATGACCAGTAAGAATGATATCTACTAATCCCAATTAAGAAGCAAGTTTACCCTGCTACTGTCTGGTTTGATTTTTGGTATCAGTTTATCTATACTACCATATAGTAAACAAATTATAACCTGTGGGATTCATTCAAAACTGGCTCTGTGGCCCTCTGGTTTAGTGTAGGTCAGTCAACACCACATTAAATATGAAAATTATTTCAATTTGACATATATACTCCATTTGATTTAATTCTCCTGCATTTGAAAATGAATAAATTCATTATATTATTAAAAAAGACAAGTGTGCAAGGAAAATAGAGTTGATTGTATATGTTCTTTAAAATATTATTCAATACTCATTCTAAAATGGCTTATTCTCATTTTATATAATATTTATTATTATTGTCCTCTTACAGCTTGTATGAGTTCCTCTATGGATAGTGAAGCTTCTTTGGACTTCACAGATGATGAACAAGCAAAACAACCACTTAAAACTACAATAGTATTGAAAATTCAGCAAAACATAGGTATTTTGCTTCTTTTATAACATTGAAAAGATGGTAGTTTGGATTTGAGTTTTCCTGTTAATGCTTACCCTAGAAAAGTTATTTTTCCTTTCATTTTTTCTTTCTTTAAAGTGGTTTTTGTTGCTAGTTGCCATTGAGTCAATTCCAACTCATGGTTACCCTATGTGTGTCAGAGAAGAATTGTAGTCCATGGGGTTTTCAAGGCTGTGACCTTTTGGAACCAGATCACCAGGCCTATCTTCCAAGGTGCCTCTGGGTGGGTTCAACCTGCTAACCTTTCGGCCAGTAGTCGCACTGAAAGATTAAGCCATTGTTTATTGAGTATTCTGCAAAGTGCCAGGCCCTAGAGATAAAAGTTTTATAAATAAGGCATTACCACAAGTGCCCTCAAAGACAACAGTTCCTTTTTTTTATTTTTTTTTTATGTTTTTAGAAGAAAAACATGTAGAGTTCTCTGAATTGATTAGTAAGTCAGACCAGTGTTTTCCAAACTGGTATTTCCAGGATTGCTGTTGCAGGAGATGTTGATACATGTTCTATGAAAAAGTCAAATTTATGTTTGGAAATTTATAATGCATTTTAGTATTTAAAGTCTCCAAGAAGTGCGACAATAATGTTAGCCTTACGTTTTTCAGATTTACTAAAAACATGTAGACCATTTTTTAGCAGAATACCAATTTGAGAAATAATTTTATAACCATTAAGATGTTTTGACTAAGAATTAGGAGCCAGAAGCTTCACTTACTAGAGAAACTTCAATTAATTGCTTAAGTTCTTTGTACTGTGTATATGTTTGTGTGTATTTGTCTGGCCTCTACTGTAGTCATATTTTTTTTTAAGTTACTGTAATTGGGGAAAATATATAACAATAAAAGTTATCCCTCTAGACTTACTAATTCTTAAGATTTATGATGGTAGAACCTAGAGCTTCTGCATTTTTCAATAGCTATACAAATGACTTGGCACTATAATGGTTGAGAACCACTGACAGGTAGAGTTGTCTTTTTGGTTGAAGCTAAGTAGCATAGACAGCTGGTATGCCAATATAAATGTTTATAGAACCTTTTAAAGCATATGGCAGTGTTTTTCTCTTAGATAGGTATTTCTGGGTACATACATGTGGGTGAGAAAGACCTTTATTTTTAGATTTTGCTAAGGTGATGAAGTAAATAATTACCAGTCCAAACCTTTGCAATCTAATTTTTCATCTTACTGCTATATTTGCCTATAAGACTTTGCTGGCTCTTAGTATATATGTTACCCACATCTCAGTGCTTAGGATCAATTAAACCTTTGTTTTACTCCTTACATTTCCATTTGTTTTGTGTTTTTTACTTTTAGGTGTGATTACAGCCTTTGCAGTTGCAGTCCTTGCTGCGGGCATCTCCTTTCATTACTTCAGTGATTAGAGTGAGACACAGCTTTCTGATCATCCAGAGACTCTGAACAATAATTATGAATAATAAAGACGTAAATAATTCATCTGCATTTAAGACAACAACAGTCATATCTGCTGCCATAAATGCCTACTAGGTGTGTTTCTGACTAAGATGAAATCACCAGTTGCCTTGTTTAGGCCTGCTTATATTATAGGTGGCCCAGGTTACCAAAAAAGTTATACATTTAGGTGGAAGTTGCACATAACAAATAATTATTATCTATTTTTAAAAAGCTTCAAAATGATGGCATATTTTCATAGATTTTAGTCCTGTTGATCTCAATCCCACATTGATTAGGACATTGAAAATTTGAATAGTTAGAGTTGGCTCAATATTTTAGTAATAGCAGAACCGCAGGAGAAATTTCTACAAAGTGTATCAACAATCTGTTGGGTAAGTTCGTACTCAAGGACTTTTCTAGTATACACTCATTTCAAAGATACTGTGTGTTTTGTTATAATGGAGAATTAGGCAACTTTTCCAGAGAAGTTTGAATCAGTAAGGACTGACATAAATCATGCAATTTCTTATATTAGTATATTGTAACTTTTAATATATTGAATAAGACTTTTGCTTTAATACTGTGTTAGCTTAGGTACTGCAGAACAACTCGATCTTGAATAAAATCTACTTTTGAATGCATTGCTAGGCTCAAAGAAATCTGCAAGAATCACACCTTTATGTTTCTCCATCCCAGTTGATAATAGTGAATGCTGTAGTTAGCATACAGATGAAGTGTGATTGTGTGAGGGCAAATGTCAGTAGCACTACTGCCATATGCAGTTTGCTTTGCACCAGAAACAAGGAGAGAGATCTGAATCTGAGACTCTGCCTTAAGCCGTTGAAGGAGGGCTTAAGGATTTATAGTACCCTAAAGATCTGCCAGAAGCAGATATTAATTCTCTCAAGGGAAAAACATTCTTATTTAGGTACAAGATTCCCATAGATTAAGTCAAGCAATATTATTTCATGACTAGAGATTGCCATGTATAATCTGAAACTAGCTAGCATGAGAGAGAACCTATAGAAACAACAAACGTTAGATTTAATTCTCCAAGTTCTCATCACTGACACAAGCAATAAAGGATGGAACCACAGGCAGATTTGAAAAAGAACCAAATACAACTTCTAGAAATGAGAAATATATTTATTGAAATAATAAAAAAAAAGACATAGATATGTTGAATATCATATTAGACTCAGCAGAAGAGAAAATTAGTAAACAGGAAGCTAGATGTAAAGAAATTGCCCAGTGAACAGCACAGAAAAACAAAGAACTATAAAATAGTAAAAAGAGATGCACAGAAAACAGGTATAAAAACTAGAGGTTCTAGGAAGAGAGAATGAACGGAGGAAAGGCAATATTTGGAGAGATAACTCAGAATTTTCTGTATTTGGAAAATCGATAAATTCAGGAAGCACAGCATATCCCAAGCACTTATATTAAAAATACATGCTTAGATTTAATGTAGTGAAACTGCAAAATAACAAATGCAAGAATTTTAGAGCAACCAAAAAGGAAAAAAGAGTTCATCAATAAAGATATGACAGCAAAATGCTCAGTATGCTTCTCAATAGCAGCAATGTATCCAAAAGATAATAGAATAATACCTTCAAAACTCTAAAAAAATTATTTTCAGCTTTGAGTTTGTACCAAGAAAAATTTCAATAAAGATATGTTTGGATGAAAAACAGATTTTACCACCTCACACCTTCATTAAAGAAACTGCCGAAGTATGATCTTCAAGAAGTAGAAAAATAATTCCAAAAGGATGATCTGAAATCAAAGAACTAGTGAGGAAATGAAATGATAAATATGTGTAAATTTAATGTATTGTTTATATAAAACAACTATAATAATGAATGCAGTAAATAAGAACTATAATTGTTAATTTAAAACTAAATAAACATCACTATTTTACAGTATTAATGTGAAATTTAAAAATAAGAATAGAAAATTCAGACAATAGCTTATAAGATTGGAAGAGGGTGATTAGGATTAAAGTATTCTGAGGAGCTTTTATTCAGAAAATGGTTTAAGATATCGGTTAAATTTGATTATGTTAAATACGCATAGTAAAAATTCAAGGGTGACTGTTAAGAGAATAGATACAGAATGTACAATTCCAAAGGAAAGGAAGTTCTAAAAAATGGAATAGGAAGATAATAATTCAATACAAAAAAAAAGAAAGGAAGAAACTACAAGGGAATAAAACAAAATTAGAAAATTAAGTGATACTAACAAATCAAACAATATTAATAATTAAAATAAATATTAATAGACTACCCAGCTAAATGACAAATTGTCAGATTAGAATTTTTTTTATTAAATTCAGCTATATGCTATTTAAAAGAAAAACACCTAAAACAAGGGCATGGAGAGATTTAAAGTAAAAAAAAAAAAAAGTTTTAGGTAAATAGCGAAAGAAAACTTGTATAGTTTTCCTAATTTTAAATAAAATTAGATTTTACAGTAGTACTGTTAAAGATAGAGAAGGTCACTAAATAATGGTAAAGGGATCAATTCACTAAGAATATGTAACACTTTTAAATTTGTATAAACCAAAAAAAACCTAACCCGTTGCCATCAAGTCGACCCTATAGGACAGAGTAGAACTGCCCCATAGGGTTTCCAGGGAGTGCCTGGTGGATTCAAACTGCCGACCTTTCGGTTAGCAGCCAAACTCTTAACCACTGTGCCACCAGGGTTTCCACTTAAATTTGTATACACTTAATAAAATGGCCTCAAAATGTGTGAAGCTAAAATTAACAGAACTGTAGGGCTAAATCAGCAAATTAAGCAACATAGTGGAAATAAGTCAAGCAGACAAACAATGAGTAAAAACAGATCTGAACAATGTGATTAACAATACTGATTCAATCGACATATATAGAATAATGCATTCAAAAGTTAGACAATTTAGACATATAGAATAATGCATTCAAAAATTAGAGAATAGTTTCCTTAAAGAAAGTATATTTATAAAAATTGACCATTGCCAGACATAAATTTTAATAAATTTCAAGCAATTAGTATTAAATGATAATCAGAAACAAGTTAGAGGTGAATAATAATTTTTTTAAATTATATTTACAAATGTTAAAAACTAATTCATGGGTGAAAGAAGATAATGGAAATCTGTAAATACTTAGAACGTAATGAAAATGTTAAGTACTACATAAAAAGTAGTGTGGTGCAGCAGAAACAGTCTTTGAGGAGAATGAATGGTTTTAAATGCTTAAATTAAGGAACAGTATTATATAAGTGTATAACTTAACTTATTAAGTTAGGAAAAAAACAGAATGAAGAAGCAAGGAGATACAAGCAAGGTAAGAAATCAGTTAATTTGGGAAACAAAGATAATAGAATCACAATGTCAAAAGTTGTTTTCATGAAAAATAAATACTCTGGCATAAATGAACAAGAAGAAACAGCACAAGTAAACATAAAAATTGAGAAAGAGGTCATAATCCATACATACTGCAGATACGAAAAATGATGAGACTACCAGGAGCATCTTAGCATAATGCTAATATATTTGAAACTTTGATAAAATAGACCAGACCCTAGAAAAAAGCAATTTACCTAAATAGAATCAAGAATAGAAAGGCTAAATAGATTATTAAATAGTAATTAAAAAATAATTTGTATTTCCACAAAAAGGACACCTGATCCAGATTTATAGGTAAGTTTTACCTCTGTTTCAAGGACCATACTGTTCCACCACTTCATATAAACTTTTCCAGAGTATAGAAAATTAGGGAATACTCTCATTCTATGAGGCCAGTGTAACTTTTATTGATACCAGAATCAGACATGTTAAGTAGAAGACAAGAAAATTACAGGCTAATCTCATTAACAGAAGGAAAAGTCAAAAGCACTATTAATAAACTGAATTTGAAAATTATATATAAAAAAGAATAATACATCATTACTAAAGGAGCCCTGGTGGCACAACAGTTAAACACTTGGCTGCTAACTGAAATATTGCTGGTTTGAACCCATCCAGTGGCTCTGCTTCTGTAAAAATGACAGCCAAGACAACCCTGTGGGGTAGTTCTACTCTGTCACATGCGGTCACTGTGAGTCAGAATCAACTCCATGGCACCTAACAACAACAAACATCATTACTAAATTGTATGCATTGAAAATCAGGAACATGACAAGCATGCCTGCTATAATTCAACATTGTCCTGTAGAGAAATGAGCAAAAGACAAATTGTTATTTTAAGAGGATGTGACTAAAGACATGAAAAGATATTTACCTTGTAAGTGATTGACTAAGACTATATGAATACCATTATTCATCAAATTTTATAAATTTGACAATACCGATGAAGAAGATGTGAGTCAAAAAGACATCTTTTACATTGTAGGTGGAATTATAAACTGATAACATAATTTGAAAGCAACTTGGCATTATTTTGTAAAGTTACATGTTCACCGACCCTAGTATGTAGTGTTATGGATTGACTTGGGCCCCCAAAAAGAAGTGTTGAAGTCCTAACTCCCCATACCTGTGAATGTGATCCTGGCTGGAAATAGGATTTTTTCTTATGTTAATGAGCTCACACCAGAGAAGGGTGGGTCCTAAACCTAATCCCTTCTGAATGGTATCTTATAAAAATAGCACAATAGACATGGAGTGACACACATAGGAGGAAGACGCCACAGGAGGACCCATCTACAAGCCAAAGAATACCAAGAAACGCCCGGGACTGCCAGAAGCTGAAAGAGATGAGGAATGATCTTGAGCAGACAGAGTATAACCTTGCCAATGCCCTTAATTCAGAATCCTAGTGTCTAAAACTGTGAGACAATAAAGTCCTCTTCTTTATAACCATTTTCTTGTAGTATTTTTGTTACACCAGCACTGGGTAACTAAGACACCTAGTCATTCTACGTATATACTCTAGAGAAATTCTTGCAAATGTGTACCACAGGAGTGCGTGTGTAAGAATGTTGAAGGTAGATCAGTTTGTAACTACCCAAATGCCCTTTGATAAGAGAATGAGTAAATAAATTGTGGGTTAAATAATTTTATTTAGCATGGAGAATGACCTATATAGAACATAGGTAAAATGTAAAGATAAAGCAAATCCCAGAAGCATACATGCAGTATGATACAATTTCATAAATCTTAAAAGCAAGCAGATCTAGACAATATATTATGTAGAAATACATATATTTGATTAAAAAAAAGATGAGGAAATAATTAAAATTCAGGATATCAGTTACTACCTCAGGGTCGGAGTAATGGCAGGGCAGGGAGGCAAAGAGGAACATACATATAGGTGAAACAGTATCTGTGATGTCTTAATTCTTGTGGTAGAAATGATGCCAGAGATGGCATGATAGAATTTTCCAAGACCAACAACTTATTCAGTGCAAATACCTTTTTTCAGCCATTTTAAATGGTGACTATTCACATGAACCTTGCCGGATGGAATACACAGGAATGAAATCGTCTATGTCTGTGGAAAGAGATAATGGAGAAACTATCAGTCAGAACAAGGCCAGGGCCGACTGCGGAACAGACCATCAACTGCTCATATGCAAGTCAAGTTGAAGCTGAAGAAAATTAAACCAAGTCCACAAGAGCCAAAGTACGACCTTGAGTATATCCCACCTGAATTTAGAGACCATCTCAAGAATAGATTTGACACATTGAAAACTAATGACCAAAGACTAGACAAGTTGTGGGATGACATCAAGGATATCATACATGAAGAGAACAAAAGGTCATTAAAAAGATAAGAAAGAAAGAAAAGACCAAAACGGATGTCAGAAGAGACTCTGAAACTTGTTCTTGAATGTAGAGTAGCTGAAGCAAAAGGAAGCAATGATCATATAAAAGAGCTAAACAGAAGGTTTCTAAGGCAGCTCGAGAAGACAAAATATTTTAATGAAATGTGCAAAGACCTGGAGTTAGAAAACCAAGAGGGAAAAGCACAATCAGCATTTCTCCGGCTGAAAAAACTGAAGAAAAAATGCAAGGCTCGAGTTGCAATATTGAAGGATTCTATGGGGAAAATATTGAATGATGCAGGAAGCATCAAAAGAAAATGGAAGGAATACAGAGTCACTGTACCAAAAAGACTTCATCAATATTCAACGATTTCAGGAGGTAACATATGATCAAGAACCAATGGTACTGAAGAAAGAAGTCCAAGTTTCACTGAAGGCATTGGTAAAAAAAACAAGGCTCCAGGAATTGACGGAATACCAATTGAGATGTTTCAACTAACAGATGCAACCCTGGATGCACACATTCGTCTATGGGCAAGAAATTTGGAAGACAGCTACCTGGCCAACCGAGTGGAAGAAATCCACGTTTGTGCCAGTTCCAAAGAAAGGTGATCCAACAGAACGTGGAAGTTATCAATCAATATCATTAATATCACACATGAGTAAAATTTTGCTGAAAATAATTCAAAAATGGTTGCAGCAGTAGATTGACAGGGAATTGCCAGAAATTCAAGCTGGATTCAGAAGAGGATATGGAATGAGGGATATCATTGCTGATGTCAGATGGATCTTGGCTGAAAGTAGAGAATACCAGAAGGATGTTTACCTGTGTTTTAAGACTATGCAAAGGCATTCAACTGTGTGGATCACAACAAATTATAGATAACATTGCAAAGAACATTCTAGAACACTTAATTGCACTCATGCCAAACCTGTCCATAGACCAAGAGGCAGGCATTTGAAAAGAAGAAGAGGATACTGAGTGGTTTAAAATCAGGACAGGTGTGTGTCAGGATTTTATCCTTTCACCATACTTATTCAGTTGATATGCAGAGGAAATAATCCAAGAAGCTGGATTTTATGAAGAAGAATGAGGCATCAGGATTGGAGGAAGACTCAGTAACCATTTGCGATATTCAGATGACACAACCTTGCTTGCTGAAAGTGAAGAGGACTTGAAGCAATTACTGATGAAGATCAAAGTCTACAGCCTTCGGTATGGATTACACCTCAACATAAAACAAAAATCCTCACAACTGGACTAACAAGCAAAATAATGATAAATGGTGAAAATATTGAAGTTGTCAAGGATTTCATATTACTTGGATCCACACTCAGCACCTATGGAAGCAGCAGTCAAGAAATCAAACAAAGCATTGCATTGTGCAAATCTGCTGCAAAAGACCTCTTTAAAGTGTTAAAAAGCAAAGATGGCACTTTGAGGACTAAGGTGCACCTGACCCAAGCCATGGTGTTTTTAGTTGCCTCATATGCATGTGAAAAGTGAACAACGAATAAGGAAGTCTGAAGAAGAATTGATGCCTTTGAATTATGGTGTTGACAAAGAATATTGAATATACCACCAACTGCTGGAAGAATGAACAAATCTGTCTTGGAAGAAGCACAGCCAGAATGCTCCTTAGAAGCAAGGATGGGGAGACTTTG